TGCGCAAAAATAGAGAAAATATTTGTTTTGCAGCACCTCCAGTGTCAGAAGGAGAGCCAGAAGCTTTCAGAGCAACTCTCGCTGCTGAAGGAGGAAAACAAGGCTCTCTATGAGGAAGGAGTCCGTCTCCTGAACCAGAAGGATCTGTATGTCAGGTGAAGGCTTAAGTGGGAAGGGATGTGGAGTCAGGAAAAAAACCCCACAAAACTACCCAGGAGCTGCTCTTTATTTGCCTGATAGTGACACCGGATTTGACTTTCTGCAGCCTTTCATGTCTCTCCTGGTTAGGACACGTAGCACTGAGAGATCTGTCTTAATCCACGGAGAGGTAACCCAGAAGAGCCAGGGCTGGGATTTGTAAAGCTGGGAGTCAGTTTGGGGGATACTTTGGGTCCTTTCCTCAGTCAGCTTCCACTTGGTTGGTGCTTAATGCAGTCTTGCAAGAAAAAAATGAACAACCAAATGGTCAGACGTGACAGTGAAAGGTGGAGTCTAGGAAATCGGTGCACTCGCTCTGCCTTCAGCTGTGTGGACAAACAGAGCTTGGTAGATGGCTGCAGCTCCTGGTTCAGGCTTGGAGATGCCTTTGTAAATGCAGAATGTCTTCTGCCTCGTTTTTGGCTTAAAACACAAAAGGGTTTCACATCTTTGTGTTTGTGCCTCCTCAGGAAATATAACGAAATGCAGCTCCGCCACAAAGACAAGATCCGCAGAGCCAAAGCAACGTTTATCCAAGAGGTGAAACAAAGGGACAGCAGAATTAAGCAGCTTGAAAACGAGCTCAGTGAGTCAAAACTCCAAGTGGAAAAGGTAAAAGAACTCATCGGGGGTTTCCCCACAAGGAAGGCAGGGAAAGCTGCCTGCAGAGTAGCTCTTCTCCTTACAAGGAGGAGATTGCCACAGTAAGCTTTGCAGAGCAGCTCCAGCAGAGGTGCACTTGCCTTGCAATGGCAGACAGGAGGCTTGAATAGTTAGAGCTGATGGTGTAAGAGCCACTTCTTCTAGCAAACCTCCTGGAAAGGGACAAAGCAGCCCTGAGAAAGGCACCTCGGTGCCTGTGGTGTGTTGGGAGAGACTGTGAGGTTTGCAGAAGATAGAGAAGAGCAAAGCGTAACTTCTGGTTGTTTCCTTCTGCAACGGTGCTCAGGGGAAGGCACTGATTGCACAGATCACTACTGAGAATGAGAAGTTACTCCAGGAAAGAAGGCGGCTCCTCCAGAGGATCACTGACCAAGAGGAGACCCCTTGGAGCAGCAGGTCTATGGTTGCTGCCCTGCAGAGCAGGTAGGCACCTAGCGATGTCCCAGCGGGATGCCCTGGGAGCCTGCCTCGTCCTTGCGTGTCTGCAAATGTGCTTTCTATGAAGAAATCCTTAATTTTGGCTGGAGGAAAGCCCGAATTGTGCCTCGCTCATTAGTGCTGGAGCTGTTGATTGCTGTGGGATATAATTAGGCCCTCTGCCCAGCAAAACTCTTGGCATACAGCTGAAGTCCATGGAGGCAAAAGGATCTGAAGTCGAAAGAGGAAGATCCTTTAGGAAGCATAATGGGGCCAGAAGGGAAATAACCTGCGCCTTGTTTGTGCAACACACCCAGAGTGAAGATCCTGGATGAGGAGAACATGCGACTGCATGAGAGCAAACTCCTCCTCTCTGGCCACGTGCAGCCCTCGCAGCGCGCGCTGAGGAGCAGCCACACTCCCAGCACAGAGGTGAGACCCCCTGGGCTGTGCTGATGTCAGCAGACAGCTGGCGGGAGCCATGTCCTGCTGGGAGGATCAGTGTCTGCAGCTGCAGTTGAAGTGCCAGAGAAGGGCTGGACCAGGGATGGAACGGGGATGCCAAGCATGCAGCAAACTGCAGTGGCTTGTTGGCGAGGAGGAACTTGTGGGGTAGCTGGTATGGCACTCAGATTACTATCTGGTCTTGCTTGTTAAGCAATGAACTTAGGATGAGAAGTCCAAGGGTGATCAAAGCATCCCTTAGAAGTACTGGTAAAGAGATTGGGAGCACAGGTAGCATTCTCTGATAAAAAAGCTTTTCCAAGCATGTCACCAGCAAAAGGACTAAAGAAAACATTGGTCTGCTGTTCAGTGAGGTTGGTCACCTCACAAATGGAGATGAAGATGAAGCAGAGACACTTAATGCCTTCTTCACCTCTGTATTTAACACCAGTGATGGGCCCTGGGATCTCCGGAGCCCTGAGCTGAAGGGCTGCAACCAGGGGGAATGAATGATGAGCCCCAGGGTGACTTTGAACTTGTCTGGGATTTGCTGCTAGAACTGAAACCAAGTTGGAAACAGTGGTTATAAATGAAAAAGGGCACTTTCAGGACCCGTATGGCAGTCCGTGGTGTTTTTTTTTTTTTTTCTGGTTGCTTGACCTGGGCTTTGGGGTTTGTTAGCTTTTGACTTAAGATTCAGACTCAAAGGACAGATTTATGCTTAGTGGCACTGTAGAGCTGGGGAACCTGCACTGGAGTGGGGGACGCCTTCTGCTCCAAGGCTGTACATCCAGGGTCTGACGTGCACCTCCTCTCTGTCCTTCCAGGACTTGAAGAGTGCCAACTTCTCTGAACGACAGCTGCAGAGTAAGGTGTCGGCGTCTCCCCGTGCCAGGTATTGTGGGGTAAAATGAGAAGGAAGGGATTTCTCCTTGCATGTGACAAGGCAGGAATGGAGCGTTTGGGCTCACTCGTAGCCCTGTGCTGCCTCACAGAGGTGTGCTGTGGTTGTGCGGGTGGCAGGAGGTCAGATAATGCTTTAAGAATGACTTAAGAGCAGAAATGTGTTTTCAGTTTCCCACCACGAGAGCCACCAGACTCCCTCAGCAGCCTGAAGCCCGTGCACGACACCAAGCCTGAAGGAGGAGCTGAGAGCCAGGATTCGTCCTTCTGCTTGTCCCCCTCTCAGCCTTCAGAGATTGGGTACCTGAATGTAGCCTCACCTGGAGACACCACGGCCTCCCAGCTGCAGGAGGAGAGTCAGAGCATGAGCTCTGAGAACTTCTAACCTGGGAAAGACGTTTGTGAAGTACAGACTGGCAGGGCTGCCAGGATTTGGACTCCAGTTGCCATGCAGTGTTAAGGATTGCAAGAGGGAGTGTTGCCAAATGACTTGATGATTTCTGTGGTAACTAAATTATGCAGCAGCTTTTTTTTTTTTTTTTTAAATTAACTTAGCCAACAATAAATGCGTGCGCGTCGTCTCTGACCTACCCAGAGGCTGGAATTTGCAGACAAACTCAGTACAATAGAAGGGGGGTGGGGTGAGACACGTGTTTCCCTGAATCCAAATTCCCTGCAAACTTTGTAAATAAAACTTGGAGAGATTTTCCTGTGCTTGGCTTTGCATCCGTGTTTCTCCGTTCCCCTCTGTCTGTGCTGAAGTGCTGCTTGCTTTGGCTTCAGCTGTGTGCAAGCATAGGGAGGGGAACAGGAAAGGTCTGAGGTTTGAAGGGAAAGAACTGTTTTACAGGGAGAGGAATGGAAGGCATCTGAGCACAGTATGGGGAGTGAGAAGGGCCATTGAGGGAAGAGGAAGGAATTTGGCTGCAGATGGAAGCGGGGAGGAGCTCTGAGTGCAAGGAGGAGGGGAAAGGGAACCGGAAGGAGCAAGAAGGGAGATGGAGAGGCTGAAGAAATGGAATTTGGAACGTGGGTGGTGAAAGGAGGGGATCTGAATCTGCAGAGAGGGAAATAGAGTAGATCTGAATGCTTACAAGCAGCAATGGAAGGTCTGCAAGGATGCACCCACGGATGGGTGGGAGTGGAAGGAGAGCTGATGTGCGCAGGGAGTGGGGAGGGGATCTGTGTGTGGAAAGAGGGAAGCAGAAAAGTTTGTGGCAGGTGCTGTGGGGGAGAGCAAATGGTATCTCGGGCTCCATCAGAAGAGAGGAGGCCAGCAGGGACGGAGCTGATTGTCCCCTGCTGCTCTGCTCCTGTGAGGCCTAATCTGCAGCACTGTGTCCAGGTCTGGAGCCCCGAGTACAAGAAGGACAGGGAGCTGTTGGAGAGGATCCAGAGGAGCCACAGAGACGATTGGGGGCTGCAGCACCTCCCCTATGAAGACAGGCTGGGGGAGCTGGGCTTGTTCAGCTTGGAGAAAAGAAGGCTGCGGGGTGACCTCAGTGCAGCCTTTCAGTACCTAAAGGGAGCCTGCAAACAGGAGGGGAATCAACTCTTGGAAAGGGGAAATGACAGCAGGACAAGGGGCAATGGTTTGAAGCTGAGGCAGGGAAGATTGAGGTTGGATGTCAGGGGGAAGTTCTTTCCTATGAGTGGTGAGGTGCTGGAACAGCTGCCCAGAGAGGCTGTGGATGCCCCATCCATCCCTGGAGGTGTTCAAGGCCAGGTTGGATGGGGCCCTGGGCAGCCTGGTTTAGCATTAAATGTGGAGGTTGGTGGCCCTGCACGTGGCAGGGGGTTGGAACTTCGTGATCCCTGAGGTCCCTTCAACCCTGGCCATTCTGTGATTCTGTGAGTGGGGATGGAAAAGATCTGAGCGGGCAGGAGATGAATGCGAGTCAATGCTGGAACCGAGGGAATGGAAGCACACAGAGGACGGGATCCATCACCTCTGAGGATCTCACCCCTTTCCTCAACACCGTAACACTGCTCGACAGAGCGGCCCTAAGGGCGGACACGCGGCTGAGCCCCATCACCCTTCCCGGTGGGATTCAGCAGCCCGCGGTGAGGGTAAGGCTGCCCTCGTGTGGCTGAAGGGGAGAGAGGCAGGCAAACAGCGACGAGAAACCCGCAGATCCGTTCAGGTTATCGGGTTCCGCGCCCTCTGCTTCGCTCTCACTGCCGTCTCAGCAGCCGCCCGATGTTCCGCCTCCCCTCCCGGTTGATCCCCTGCCCCCGCAGCCCGCGCCGCGACTCCCAGGACAGACGGCGCTACGACGGCAACGCAGCGCCCTTACGTGACGTACGTTGCGTGATGACGTCACACGCACAGCAGCTTCCGCCCGCTCGAGCGCGCGTAGCCCTACCTCCCTCCACTCCGCTTCCGCTTCCGGGTGAGGCGGCCGTCATGTCGGCGCTGGCGGCCAACCCCAACAATCCCGTGGTGTTCTTCGATGTCACCATCGGCGGGCAGGTGGGCGGCGGGAGCTGCAGGCCGCCGCGGTGCCCGCCCTCGGGCTCCCCTTCTCTGGGCCGAGCGAACCATGAGGCCGCAGCCGCTCTCCACGCGCTGCGCCCTCCGTGCCGTTCCTCGTCCCCTTGGGTGCCCCGGAGGTTGCGTGACTTCTCGCGGCGGGGTGGCGGCGGCTGGGAGCTGCGCTGGGGCGGGGAGGAGCGGGGCGGAGCGGGCTGAGCCGCCGCTGTTTGTGCAGGAGGTCGGCCGCATGAAGATCGAGCTGTTTGCTGATGTCGTGCCCAAAACCGCGGAGAACTTCAGGTAGGAGCAGCTGGCGGCACCGCGGGCTCGGCTGGGCGCCCTGCCTGGCAGCGGGCTGCGAGGGGCGTGCGGGAGTGCGGTGGTTTCAGTGATCACCGCATCCGCCTCAGTTCTGTGTTCCCACAGTGCTGCCCGTGCAGCATCCCGATCACCGGGAGAGTCCACGTGGGCTGAAGGAGAAAGACCGCGGCCCTTCTCTGCTCTCTCTGTGGAGCTTCCGATACGCTCAGTTCACAAAGGCAGCACTTTCATGTCATGGTAAAAACCTCCTTGCTGCCCCGTTCTCCATCTCTGACAGCAGAATTCACCACCTGGACATTCCAGTTCTGGAGAAGAGAACATAGCCTGTCCTCTGTGAGACATGGTGCCCTGTTCCACACTTTGGGATTGGTTTTATTTAGCAGGTTGTTAAATATCCAGACTTTCTCAAAACTCCATTTCCAAATGGAAGCATTGAGTGGTTATCAGTGACTCTTGTTTCACCCCCACTGAAATATGCCAAGTCCTGCACAGCATTCAGTGCGCGTTGCTGAGTGCCACCCTCTGTGTCCTCAAAATTCAGAAGTGGTTTATGCTTGGCTTTTCTGTGTTTTTTTCTTTTCCAGGCAGTTTTGTACAGGTGAATTCAGGTATGCGAGTTATTTTTTCTTTTTGCCCACATTCTCAGACACACTGGGCTGGGTGCTTGGAACGATGACCCACTTGGAAGTTTTCCTCATTGTATTGCTGTGCAATGGAAAAGTTTCAGAAATCTCTGATGAAAGCACGCCTGGCTCAGTGAGTCACGGAAGTCTTTTCCTTTGGGGCACAAATGCAGTCATACTCCTGTTGTTCTAAAAATGCCTTGCCTGAAAAAAAAACCAAACACATTGTGGCCCAGATGTCTGTACTGCAAATTGGAGTGGGATTCTTTGGGATGGTGAAATGCGTGCTGCAAACAGCTGTGCCCATTCGAGGCTTCCCTTGGCCTCTGGTAGCATCAGTGCAAAATTAGGATCCAGGATGGGCTGAAGGAGGTGGGTCGGTAGGTGATACATTAAGCCAGCTCCTAATGTAGGGGGCGACCCTGTGGGAATGTGACCTCCTGGGAGGGTTCTGTGGTGGGATTTACAATGAGTTGTAATGATTTTCCTTTTTATTTCCTTGTAGGAAAGACGGTGTCCCCATAGGTTATAAAGGAAGCACTTTCCACAGGTGGTACTTCTGCTTTTGTTTAGAGATTTAACGGCATGAGGTGGTTTTGAGACCTGCCTCGAGGGTGCAGCTTCTGCTGTCTGCCCTTTGGGTGCTGTCAAATACTGTCAGTGCTCACTGCTTGTAGACTGTAGCATTCACAGTCATTCACAAGGCATTTTTCTACTGGGAGCTAAGTATTGCTTTACTTTTTTAGGGTAATAAAGGATTTCATGATCCAAGGAGGTGACTTTGTAAACGTATGTACTACTGCGTTGCTTTTGTCCTTTTCCTGTGCTGTACAGCATGCAGCTCGTCCTTCCCCATGTTTTCTCTCTCTGACAGCGTGACTTGCTATAAAGCGAGGGGCTTTTCAAGCTTGCAGAGGTTTTTCTTTCCACTCTGTTGTCCTTCCCATTTCTCCTTTCCCCCCAGTAAGAGGCAGAGATCTCCACTGTGCATGTGAGAAGAGATGCTTAAGTGCACAAACCAAGAATCTCTTCCAAGAGATCATTTTGAATCAAGTCAGGCTTAATAAAGAAAGTGTGTGTTAAGTGGAAAGGCAATAAAGGGAGACAGGCTGCAGACAGAGTAAATGGGGCTGAGATTCATGATCCCTGAGGTCCCTTCCAACCCTGGCCATTTGTGATTCTGTGGTAAATTTCCCTGTCTGTGCTGGATTCTGTTTGAATTGCTTGTGCAGCTTTCTCTGAAAGGTTCCTCGCTGCCATTGTGCTGAAGGGTCTCAGTCCTTTGGCAGAGCACAGGAGCCTCTCTGCAGTGCAGCAGTTATGGGCCACGCTTCTGTGGTTGATAAATCAAGTCTTGAGGTCTGAGTGCTTGTGCTTGTAGTAAGGGCAAGGTGTGTTGACTTGGAGGAAAGGAATGAAACGTCTGAATGTGTTCACCACTGGTATATATAATGGCAGTGCAGCATCTCTTTTTTGGGCTGAGTTTAGCACGGTGATTTTGCTTATTTCAAGTTCGTGCTGCAGAACTGATGCTGTGGCTGACTAATTGCCTCTCTTGTGCAGGGCGATGGCACTGGAGTAGCCAGTATATATAGGGGGCCTTTTGCAGATGAAAACTTCAAGCTGAAACACTCTGCTCCTGGCCTGCTTTCTATGGTAAGGATAAAGTGAAGACTGGGAGCTTTTGGTATTTTCTCTCTGCCTTTTTCCTAAATGTATAAATTGTGTCTGCCAGACAGTAGGAATCTGTACAGTGGGATGGAAAGTGTGACAGGCCTGTGTTGTAAGTTACCAGCTGGAAGATTGCTTATGGTTTGAGCAATGCAGGAGTCCTCATCCTCCAGCCTCCTTTCTTCTTACCTGTTGGAGCTCAGGAACGTGTTTTGTTTGCTCAGCTTTCAGAATGACTTGACAATTACAGGTCTTGTACAGTGATGAGTGAAGGGTCTTTTTCTTCCCTTATACTGTTGTTGAACACTGACCTTAGTGAGGAGAAAACAAAGACTGTGGAGTTTCAGAGTCACAGCACTGTTACTGTGCTGTCTTTTAGAACATTTTTCCCCAGAGTGATGCTGCAGTCACTAAAGATGTTGTTGTGTGCTTGCACAGAGCAGCAGGACCTGACCTGATAGTGCACCATGTCCAAGCACAGGTGCTCTCCTGCAAATGTGTCTTGTTTCCTCTGGTTTATGAATCAGTAAGCTTAATAAAAGGCAGTGAGGCCATTTCTGAAGCAGCAGCTCTTTCCAATGTCAGATCTCTCTGCCTCCAGCTTTGGGGAAGTCCTAATTTGTAATGCTTTGCATTTTGATGTTTTCACCCCGCAGGCAAACAGTGGCCCAAGCACTAACGGGTGTCAGTTTTTCATCACGTGCTCCAAGTGTGACTGGTTGGATGGAAAACACGTTGTGTTCGGTGAGTACGGCCTGGCATGCAGAGTCTTGGGCAGTTCCTGTGGCACAGCTGCTAAAATAAACGGCTGTGGTCTGCTTTTTCCTTCCCCATCCATTGTGCCAGCGGAGGTATTTGTGCTGCCAGGTATTGAGATGCGTCTTTAGAAACGTTTTTTTCTCAGCTTAACTTTAATCCAGATCAGATCCTTGATCGTTGTGTCACTGTTAGTGCATAAATCCTTGTGCCAGTGCAGATGGGACAAAGAATGAGGGGATGGATGCCTTCCTACTCCACTGTCAGAGTGGGGCTGGCATCCAAATGGAGTTTCCAGCTGAGTTTGTAGGTATGAGATGTGCTTTCAGAGGATGACTGACTTTTCTGTGCTGCCTCTTGAGCTGTAAGATTCCAAAGCCAGGCCTGAAGCTCTTGTCCTGCTCACTGCTGTCAGTTTAGAGAGCCGTGCCCAGGGAGGGGAGCAGGAATTGGATGTGCTGGGGAAGGCAGCGAAGGTTAAAGCACAGCCCTGAGGTGGATGCATTTCTCATTTCAGGTAAAATCGTTGATGGGCTGTTGGTAATGAGAAAAATTGAAGTAAGTGGGATTTGCTTTTTTCTCTGTGAAATCCGTGTTGGAAAGTCGTGGGAGGGCAGCAGTGGTTGTTCTGTTCTCTCCTGTGTAACGAATACCAGGGAATACCACTGACAATAACTGGTGTCATCAGTTGTCTTCACTGCAAGATAATAGGAAATCCGTTGTGAAATAGTCTGTCATTCAGATGGACTTTGGAAATGCTGTGCTCCCATGGCTGCTGCTTAGGCTTTGAGCAGGGATTTTATTCCCCCAGCTTGATTTGCAGCGCTTTGCATTTGTTCAGGAAGCTGAATTGAAAAGCTGTTCCATCAGACAGGAGTGTAAAGCAGATCGTTTCCGTGCCACTGCCCAGGATCATTCAGTGGGTGTCAAACCATCAGTTCTGCTGATGTGTGATTGGCAAATCTAATTAGAAAAGTTAAACCAATCTTTTGATGAGCTGCCAGGATACGTTCAGATAAATAGGAGCACTGACTGGGTGCCATGGCAGGGTGGTGAGCAGGTTAAAAAAGGGCAGTTGCTGACATTGTGGCACAGCTCTGGGTTGGGAAATGTGCACGAGGGCCTCTGCCATCAGAGAATGCAAAAAGCAGAGCTGCCAACCATTAGGTGTCTCTGGGTTTGCTGTTTTGATGAGATGTAACCTTGTATCTGTCCCCAGAATGTGCCCACAGGACCGAATAACAAACCCAAGCTGCCAGTTGTGATCTCTCAGTGCGGGGAGATGTAAAGCAGTGGAGTAGGAACGGGGTAAGTCTCAGATTTCTGAGGCATCCGCTGTAGTTGAACAGTGGGTTTCTGTGCTCCTTATTTCTCTCTTGACTTGTTGTCACGTTCGCATGAGCATGCAGAAAGTTGGCTCAGCTCAGTGATCCATCACAAAGTGCTGCTTGGATAGCATGATGTTTTGTATCAGCTCAACTCCCTGAAGCAGTTTCCCTTCAGTGTACATGAAGACCAAAGGCAGCACTAAAGGGAAGAGATTTTGTGGCTGCAGTCTGAGGGAAGACGGGGTCAGCCCTGCCTTGGATGGGGTTAGGTTGCCTTGAAGCCTCAGCTTCAGAGAGCAGTGGATGAAAAGGGATCTGCAAGAGGAATTCAGCTGGGGTTGCTCAGGCAGGAGGGAGCGGACGGTCGTTTAACCTGCAGCTAAGTGCTCTCTGCTGTTGCTGCAGAAAGCAGAGCATCCATGTGTGGTGCAGACAGGGATCAAGAGCAGTGCTGCAGAAAGAGAGGACTTAAGCCTTCCTGCAGCCATAGGGCTGCCGCCACGGGAGGGCTGAGGAATTGCTGTGTTACAGAGCCTTACCTTAATTGAGAAGAACACCACTGTCCTCATGCAAGGGGAAACGTTTCCAGCATTACCCAGGCTTCATTTTGCTTAAACCAAACAGATGCAAGGCTGAACTTAGACTAACACAGAGTATTCTGTTGGCATTTTTCACTAGAAAAATACCACAAGCATTCGAGCAAATCTGACCAGATTTCAATGTGTCAGGCTGCAGCTTATCAAAAATCTGCTGTATGAGCCATTTGGTTGCTGACTTTTCAAATTTCAGCAGGCAGGCACTGACAAAAGCACTCCTTTATATGATTTCCAAAGATGTCTGGAATTACTCATGAAGACACATCCCTGCTGGCATGGTAAAGCCTTTCAGATTTGCAGTGCTTCAAATGCTTCTGTGTGATGAAGTGACAGTATGGAATGCAGTCACTCGGTGCTTCTGGCCTTTATAGGCTTCTGGAGATGGGGGCAGCTTTGTTAATAGGCTTTCTTGCAGATGGAAAGAGCCTTGCTGATGTGTTGGGTCCCCTTCAGGGCTGCCCTCAGGCCCAGACCTATTGATCGTGTTTCTTTGGAGCCTTTCTGTACAATCTCTGGTCAACATCCAGCTGCATATCTTCAGTTTGCATCTGCTTCCTTTCCAGCCAGGTCTTAGGAAACATCTTTCTGCACACTGCTGCCTTTTGGCTAGCTCTTGACAGGAACGGGGTTTATCTCCCCCACCTTCAGACAGTTAAATGAGTTATTTGTAAAGATCTTTTAAGATCAGCCTGGAGAAACAGGCAGTGTTGGTTATGAATTCAGAGCCAGGCGCAAGTGCTGGAGTGGAGACTTGTTTGCCATGAGCTGGTGCACGCAGCAGGCAGAACCAATTCAGCACCCAGTGCTGTGCTGCAGGATGCTGAAGGTGGCTGCTGAGCACCTGGGACAGTTTGTTCTCCTTTGTTTCAGTGCTCCCTTGTGGGTGGATTGGCCTTTGCCAGCTCCACGCAGCTCCAGCTCCAGCCAGTTCCCTTGCTGCTCCCGTCCTCCTCACAGACTCCTGAAATCATGAAATAATTGGCATATATCATTTTTTTTTTAAGTATGTTCAAATGTAAATAAAGGATTTTGTTACATATATGCGTAGTGGATATCAGCAAACGTGCCTGGGAGTGGATTCTGTGGGCAAAAAGGCATACTGCCTTCCCTATGGTGTGTGCATTACCCCAGCTGATTCGGTACAGAATGTTTCCTGTGTGAGGTGGTGAGAGGCATTGCTGCAGGGCATTTGCTAAGGGGAAAGCAGAAATGCAAGGAACACACCTGAGCTGTGCTGCAGCAGCTCTGGCTGTGAAGCTGCCCTGGCAGAGAAGTTCTGGGGGATGCCCTGAACCTTTCTACATGCAACCTTATTGAAGCTCAGGACAGGATAAAGGCATGATGGCCAGGATTTTCTGGGCTCTGGAGTGAGTTTTGCTGTTAGCCCTCACCTGGCACGTCCTGGGCCAAAAGGCACTGGGCTCTTTTATGCCACAGGTGTGAGAGGAATTGACACGGGTGTTAGAAGGGTGTTGATGGAAGGTCTTTTGGTTAGCAGGCAGAGAATGAGCATGCCATAGAATTCAGGGCTCCTGAGGTTGCAGAGAACAGAGGTGAGGCTGCAGGTCTGTGGAAAAACTGTCATTGTCAGACTGGGTTTGCAAGCTCACCTGCTGGGCAGCTCGAAGTCACCCTTTGTGGGCGCTGGGCTCCAACGTGAGTTTTCTCTGCAGCAGATTAAATATCAGAGAGGTTGGACAGAGTCTGTTCTGTCACCTGCAGTTGCTTTGTCCCGTCCTGATCTGCCCTGTCACTCCTCTCCTCGCACAGCACAATGCTTTGTGATCTGTGCCTGAGGTGCAGGAGCGGGGCTGGCTCAGGGAGGTGTGGGCTGACGCTGACGTGTCAGAGGACAGATCCTGTAGGCATGCTTTGGTGTCATCTCCTACATAACGGCTGCTCAAAATCTTTAGGGCAGGCTGTGGGATTGCACAGCTGCTGAGGATGCTTGCAGTTTATTCTCTCCTGCTCAGCGTGTCTCACTTGTACCTGCAGCATGCCAGGTGATGAAGGAAACAAAGCAAATGATCCCATTCCCATCCTGGCTTTGCATAGCCACGATTTCTCCTAGGAGACAAGGGTTGAAAATTCCTCAACCAGAGGAGGAGAAAACTTGGGTAACAGCTGTGAGACAGAGGTGAGCAAAAAATGAGACGCTCAGCTGTTGCTCATGCTCAGGGAATGCATCTGGATGCCCTTTCCCTGTGGGGTTTAGGCATGAGCCTGACTCCAGGCAGCTCAGAGCTCTGCCTCCAGCTGCAGTGCTGAGGTTCACCGTTCTGGCTGTGGGTACCCAAATTCACTCTGCTTTCTCACCAGGGAAACCAGCCTATTTCTGGGTCCAGGCTCAGCAGCGTTTTCTCAGCCTGATGTATTTCTATCACTGTGACCAGCCAGTTGTACTTCCTGCATAGCAGGGGTCACACAGCTTCCCCAAATTAATATCTAACAGTGGTAAATCCATTACAACCTCTTGAAAGTTGTGCCAGTGGTTAATTGTATCCTGTTACATTTATCTACCTTGGACACTAAATATACTGAGTTTCAGCTTCCCAGCCTGTGGATCTTGCTGTTCGTTACTTGCTGGCTAAAAGTTCTCTCAAACACCAGTATTTTTGGATTTAATTTCCTGTGATGAAGTCACCCTTCAGTCATGTGTGAAGCAAATTCTGGAATCTGCTGCAGAGCAGATGATTGTTATCCTCTATCTGAGCTCCAGCATCATTCTCCAACGGTGGGCACTGCAAACGGAGGCAGTTTGACTGCCTGTTACTCATCTGAACTTCACGTTCACCTCCAGCCCCTGCAGTGTGCCCTTCCTCAAAAGCTGCCCTGAGCTCATAAGCCATCAGGAGACACATCTTTGTAGGCTTCATCGCTGAGATTTGAAGATTCTTCCCCAGTTATTGATAAAACTGATAAGCAGCTCTGACTCCTTTGTTTTATGTGACCCCTCTAATCTATATACCATTGTATTTTCTGACATAGAATCACAGAATGCCTTGGGTTGGAAGGGACCTCAAGGATCATGAAGGCTCCAGAGGATGATCAGGGGGCTGCAGCAGCTCCCCTATGAAGACAGGCTGACGGAGCTGGGCTTGTTCAGCATGGAGAAAAGAAGGCTGTGGGGTGACCTCAGTGCAGACCGCAGTACTTAAAGGGAGCCTACAAACAGGAGGGGAATCAGCTCTTTGAAAGGGGAGATAACAGCAGGATGAAGGGGAAACGGTTTGAAGTTGAGGGAGGGAAGATTTAGGTTGGATATCAGGGGAAGTTCTTTACTATGAGAGTGGTGAGGTGCTGGAACAGCTGCCCAGAGAGGCTGTGGATGCAGAGGGGTTGGAGATTCGTGATCCTTGAGGTCCCTTCCAACCCTGGAATTCTGTGATTCTGTGAATCTCCAACCCTCCCACTGCATGCAGAGCAGTCAACTCCACGTTTAATACCAGACCAGGCTGCCCAGGGTCCCATCCAACCTGGCCTTAAGCACCTCCGGACCTTGAACTTCTCCCTCACATCCAACCTCATTTGAAGGAGGGAAGATTTAAAACCATTTCCCCTCGTCCTGCTGTCATCTCCCCTTTCCAAGAGTTGACTCCCCTCCTGTTTGTAGGCTCCCTTTAGGTACTGAAGGCTGCCGTTCGATCACCCCGCAGCCTTCTTTTCTCCAGGCTGAACAAGCCCAGCTCCCCCAGCCCGTCTGCAGCCCCTGCAGCTGAGCTCAGCACGGTTTGCTCGCCGTTTCCCGGCGGTGTCTCGTGGCTGAGGGCAGGGCTGTGAGTGTGCGGCCAACCACGACTGGAGGGCAGGAGGAGAAATGGGAGACAGGATGGCTCAGTCACAACAAACCCAGCGCGGTGTCCCTGCGGGCGGAGGCACGGAGGTGTCGCTGGGAAAAGGCTAATTAAAAACCAGGCTTTGAAGAGCCCTCGGAGCCGCGGCCCGGCTCTTAAAGAGCTCAATTAGAGGCGTTTGCCTCGAGGAAATGTAATGAGAGCAGCTCCTCGGGAGCGGTGCCACCGCAGCTCAACTGTCCCCGGGGCGCCCGGGCACTGCGCTCTGGTGGCACCGCTCGGTTCGCCGCGGCTCGGCGCTGTGAGGGGTAACGGCCGGGCGCGTGCCGAACGGCTCCGACTCCAACGCCTGCCGCGCCGCGTGGCCGCGCACGCTGCCCCCGCCGGGCCCGCAGCGCCGGGAGCCTCGGCCCCCTCAGCGGCGGCGGCCAATCAGAGCTTGGGGGCGGGGCGCGGAGGTAGGCGGGAAGATAAAGAAGCCCAGCAACCGCCGGCCGAGCGGCCAATAGGAGCGCGGAGCCAAGGAAAGGCAGGTAGTGCGGCCAATGGACGTTCGCTAAACGGCCGCCGCCGGGAGGGGAAAAGCCGGCGGGATTGGCTCGCCGTCTGACGGGCGGGGCTAGCGGCCAATAGCGTCGCGCGCGGGCGGGGCGCGCGGTGTGGCTAGCCGGTGCGGGCCGCCATTGTGGCCAGTTCGATCGGTATCGGGAGCGGAGAGCGGAGCTCAGCGAGCCCGGAGCAGGGAGCAGCCCCCCCACGGCCGGCCTCAGTCACCATCACACCGCGGGAGGCGGCGCAAACAGCCAGTCACCACCACCGTCCGCACCGAACAGCCGCCGCCATGAGCAGCGAGGCCGAGACCCAGCCGCCCGCCGCCCCCGTCCCCGCGGCGGCCCCCGCCGCCGCCCCCGCCGACTCCAAACCCAACGGCGGGAGCGGGAACGGGAGCGGCGGCCTGGCCTCGGCGGCGCCTCCCGCCGGCGGGGACAAGAAGGTCATCGGTGAGGGAGGGAGCGGGCCGCGGGGCGGGGGAGGGCCTCAACGGGCGGTGCGCGCGCCCCTTCCCCCCCTCCCCTCACATCCCCACCCCCGGGGCTGCGCGCGCCCTTCCTCACAGCGCGGCGCGCGCCCCCCTTCCCCCGCGGCGGCCGTTGGGCGCGCGCCCGCTCCCCCTTCCTCCCCCCGCCCCCCTTCCCCTCCGCGCGCGCGCCGCTCGCCGCCGGGCCCCGCGTGTCGTTGGTGGGGGCGGGGCGGCGCGGCTCAAGATGTCCGCCACGCGGGGCCTTTGTGTGCGCCGCCCCGCCACGTGCCGCGCCTGACGCCGCGCCCCGCGCTCTCTTCTTCTTCTCCTTCGCCCCTCTCCTCTCCCAGCAACGAAGGTTTTGGGAACAGTGAAATGGTTCAACGTACGGAACGGTTACGGCTTCATCAACAGGTGAGCGGGGCTGCGCGGGGGTGGGGGGAGCTCGGGACTTCATCCCGCGATGGCGTGGCCCGCGTTAAGGCCTTTCCTGCTGCTCGGGGCGTTGGCGTAGGCTGTCAGCGCGCTGCGGTGCTCGTTTAGACCTTTCTGTGAAGTTGAGTGGGACAGGCGGAGGGGAATTGGGCGGAGGGGATGTTGAGGTTCGATGAGAGTCGTGCAGCTGGGGAGGAACAGCTGTGGGCATCGGTGCGGGTGAGAGGCTGAGCTGCTGAGAGGAGCTCTGCGATGAGGGACCTGGGTGTCCTGGTGGCCAGCAGGATGACCATACCAGCGGTGTGCTCTGGTGGTCAGGAAGGCCAGTGGGACCCCACAGAGCATGGCCTGCAGAACGAGGGATGTTCTCCTCCCCTCTGCTCTGCCCCGGGGAGGCCACATCCATAGCAGTGGGCCCAGTGCTAGGCTGCCCAGTTCGAGGCAAGCAGGGAACTGCTGGGGAGAGCCCAGCAGGGATACAGAGAGATCGGGGCCTGTGTGAGGAAGGCTGAGAGGGGATCTGATCACTGTTTCAAGGTATCTAAAGTGTGGGAGTCAAGTTGGTGGGGGCAGACTGTCTTTGGTGGCATGCAGCAGCAAAACAAGAGGCAGTGAACAGAAGCTGGAACACAGGAAGTTCCATACTAGCACAAGGAAGAACTTTACTGTCAGAGTGGCAGAGCACTGGAGCAGGCAGCGCAGAGAGGTGGTGGTGTTTCTTCTCTGCAGATGTTAAAGACCAACCTGGATACCCACCTGTGTGACCTGCTCTGGAGAACGTGTCTTAGCAGGGGGTTGGATTTGATCTCTAGAGATCCCTTCTGATCCATACAATTCTGTGATTATGTGATGTCCAGTGGCATTGATGTCGGTTAAAAATAGCCGTGGATGCCTAAAAGGAGGTGATCCTCAGACAGCTGTAAGCATATAAGGAAATGTGCAAGATGCAGATTTCTTGTCCATCACAAGACCACAGAATGTAAGGAGGCCTTGAGAAACATGCTGTTAGGATTCCTTCTCTGACAGCAGTTGATCTAGAGAGCAGTTCTTTCCTCAGTCGGTTTGGAGTGCCTGCGGGTGGTGGTTCTGCAGAGGCCATGTTTCCAGAAGGCGTTGTCATGCTGCACGCCCTGCAGGGCTGTTCTCTGCCAGGACCTTGGGATGGGGAAAGCCCTGGGGCAGCCCTGTTTCCTGCTGGAGGTCACTGCTGCTTCTCTCCTGTGTGACAGCACGTGGCTCTGCTGCCTTAGTTCCATCAGTGTGTTAACTTGGAGAAAGATGCACGAAATGGGAGCTGGGGGACTCTTCCATCTCTGTTTTTCTTCTTGAAATCCACCATGGCAGGGTTTGACAGGAAGCTGGGGAAATCTTCTCCAGGGGAGCAAGTATTGGTACTGATGGTTCTGTGGAAGTTTGACCTAAATACCACCTTTTCATCTACCTGTTACACTGTGGCCTGGTTTTAAGCCTCTGAGCTCCTTGGCTGGCCGGTGAGCAGCTCTACAGCCTTGCCCAGTGTGCGTTCCCCACGTGGTGGCTGAGTGTCAGGTGTCAAACAGCTGGCAGAGCTGCTGCAGCATCCCGGCTCCGGGAGGTGCGTGCACAGCTACAGGTCGCTGCTTTACCTCTGGGGAAAGCTTTTCTGTTCCACTCGTAGCTGAATGCTGCTGCATGAGTCAAGCACGGAAGTGGGAGCAGCTACTTAAGGCATCTGAATGGCTTCCCTGCTCGTATTATTTTGGCAGCTGTTTAATCCCTGAGGTTGCTGTTCCTAATGAGAAACGCAGCGTGAGCTCATGTGCTCCAGCTCAGCTCTCATCTCTTGATAACGCTTCTGCTCCCAAACGGCTCGGGCTCACCGAAGCTGTGGAGCTTTGCCTGGGTCTGCCTGCAGCTCACGTTGGCTGTGGTTGTAGTCTGTTGGTGTGTGTTAGTATTAAGGATATTTATTACTGTTTTCTGAAATATTAGGTTGAATTCTGTCGGTTGTTCCTTGCAGTTGTCAGTGTAATGAACGTGCAGGCAGCTGAGTTGCTCTTGTTGCCATAATTGGAGCTGCACGCTGATATCTGGCTTTGTATTTGCAGCTTTGCTGTGCTTCCTTAATCGCTGCTTGCTCTTCTGATTTTTTTAAAGAAGAGATTAAAGCTATTGAGAGCATTGTCTGGCACCTAGAAGAGATGAGTGTCTCACAGGGCCTTCAAAATGGGCACCTCCTGTTCTGTTTCCTATTTTGTTTGCAAAGTACTGATCGTTATTCCCACATCATCCGTGTGGCAGCACGTAGATGGGCTCCTAGATGGGCTTAGTGCAGAAATCCTGTGGCAGACGCTGGGTTATAGAATGAACCAGGAGGGTTTTTAACAAATCACGTCTCCACCTTGGTCTGGTTCAGCGGAACAGAGTTGTTTACTGAGCCAGAACTGCAGTGTGCTCTTCAACAGGAACTGTGATGTAGAAAGGGCTCTAAATGAAGTGAGGAGCAGCTGATGTGCTTGCAGGAATGGGGCTCGGGAGCAGTGTAGGGCATCCACACAGAGCTTGGATGGTGAGCAGTTACCACTACTGTGCTCTCACCAAGGGCAAGCACCGGACTGAATCCAGGCTCTGGGCTTCCCTCAGGTCCTCAGTTCTTGGAACACCTGCGATCTAGTGTTGAGAACAGAAGCGTTAGGCTTTGTAAGAGCTGCTGGGTGCTGCCTGGTGGGCCGGGGCTGAGCTGCCTCCCGAGGATCGCCTTCTGTAGCCTGCTGGGCTAACTGCTTTCCATCAGCTCTGCAGTGTTTGCAGTTCCACAGGGAAACGGGGGTGTGGTGCTGTGTGACAGTTGAGTTGTTACAGAGTTGTTGCCGTGTGTTAAAGCTGTGGTGAGGAGTCCAGGTAGGAGCACTGCAGCGCCGGCTGTGCCTGCCGTGTACATCGTAGGAAATGAAAGGCACTCGGCGGTGTTGGTCTGTGCAATGGCTTGAAGTGACACTGTGGCGAGGCTCAGCCCTGCGATGTGAGCCTGAGGGTCGGCTGCAGGCAGGCTGTGATGGTGAGCGCGGCTCTGCAGCAGCGTGAGGACAGCTGGGGCTGTGCTGAGTAACTGAGAGCAGGAAGCTCCCTGTGCCCACCTGCCTGCCAGCCGCGCTGCTGCCCTGTGCAGTGCTCATGGATGCGGCCTGCAGGAAGTGGAGCTGGGGAAGCAGGCCGTGCATGCTGCTTTTCATAGCCTGTGATGTCACATCTTCCACTGTGCTGTCCCAGGTATCTGAATTTCAAACTGGGCCAGCGTGCTGCTGGTCTCACGTCTGAATTTCTGTTTTGTGCTGTCTTGCAGGAATGACACCAAGGAAGATGTGTTTGTCCATCAGGTAAGATGTGTTGGGAGCTGAAATGTGCTGTGCCTGACCCTAGCCAAGTGGGGTGGAGGGGAAAGCGGAGCTGTCGCACTTCCCGCTGGGTTTGTACATCAGGCAGGCTGCTTTCCCACCTTGTGCTCAGCTGTGGCAGTGAGGTTTCCTGTCTCTCCCCTAAAATCACTGCTTACATGCTGAAACGTGTGGACATGTTTTCTGATGGATTTTATTCCATTGAGGGAACAAATGGACCTGAATTCTGTTGCTGACATTAATTTGTGAAGTTGTGACACTTATTAAAAAGTGTTTGCTGAGTAGAATGTAGCTGAGAGCTGTGCTTACAGAGCATTCAGCGACTGTCAGAAATGCAATCCGCTGCTGAACAGCGTAGAAAATAGCCCCAAATAAGCTCTTGTAATCAGTGCGTGCACCTAATAAGAACACACAGAGCGCTTAGTGAGAAACTTCTGATATTTTTGGGGGCTGCTTTGTATCTCCAACTGGAAGCATGTGGGCTGACATTCCAGGACAGCTTTAAGGCTGCGCCAGGTAGGCCAGAGCTGTAGTGAAGCACACACATCTTCTGGCTTTGAGTTTCCACTGTGGCTTAATTGCTTGTCCATGAGGATGCCTTAACAAACCAGCAGTTAGATTCCTTCCCCCAGAACACCAACACAAACTTCACTCAGTAGTGTTTTCCCGCTGTGCCTGTGAGTGTAACTTTGCCATATTTGTTGTCAGACTGCCATAAAGAAGAATAACCCCAGGAAGTACCTCCGCAGCGTAGGAGACGGAGAGACCGTGGAGTTTGATGTGGTTGAAGGAGAGAAGGTAAAGCTCTGGGTGTTCTGGGAGCGTGCAGGGAGCAGCTCTGCGGGCTGTGCTGTGGTGCTGTGGTTTGAGCAGGCGCCCGATGGCATCCGGGGAGATGAATGGTTTACAGATGGGATGCAGGTGGGCACCGAGTGGCTCCGGTTTGCTGCTCGCTGCTTACCTGACCTCTCTGTGCTCCTCAGGGCGCGGAGGCAGCGAACGTGACAGGGCCTGGTGGCGTTCCAGTGCAAGGCAGCAAATACGCAGCAGACCGTAACCATTACAGACGATATCCGCGTCGCAGGGGTCCTCCACGCAACTACCAGCAAAACTACCAGAACAGTGAGAGTGGGGAGAAGAACGAAGGAGCAGAGAACATCCCGGAAGGCCAAGCCCAGCAGCGCCGTCCCTACCGCAGGCGGCGGTACCCACCTTACTACATGCGTAGGCCCTACGGGCGTCGACCGCAATATTCCAACCCTCCCGTGCAGGGAGAGATAGTGGAGGTAACGCACAAGATGTGGTTCCTTTGCAGGGCTGCGTTTTATCGCCCTGCTCCAGATGCTGGAGATGTGCTCTGCAAGGCTGAGCAGTGAGATAAAACGCAGCTGTTGGATGCAGCTGTGGGACGGCAGCGCGCTGGGATGCGTGTTAAGTTTTGTTAGGAGTGATGGGGCGCAGAGGAGCTCTGCAGCGCTGCTGTCGTGCGCTGAGGCCGCCGTCACCTCGCAGCCCTCGGTGTGGTTTGTCTGCCTGGCTGAGAGCGCTTGTTGCCTCGTGTCTTCCAGGGTGCTGACAACCAAGGTGCAGGAGAGCAAGGCAGACCAGTCAGGCAGAACATGTATCGAGGTTACAGACCACGATTCCGCAGGTATGCTGCAGGCCGGCTCTCGCTGTCGCCTCGTGCTCTAGCAGCACGGCCGGAACGCCGCGGCGCTCAGATGCTGCATGGTTAAAGCCCAGCTTGACTTTCAGGGGTCCTCCTCGTCAAAGACAGCCTAGAGAGGATGGAAACGAAGAAGATAAAGAGAACCAAGGGGACGAGACCCAAGGTCAGCAGCCACCTCAACGTCGGTACCGTCGTAACTTCAACTACAGACGCAGACGCCCAGAGAACCCTAAACCACAAGATGGCAAAGAGACGAAGACAGCCGAACCACCAGCTGAGAACACGTCCGCTCCCGAGGCCGAGCAGGGCGGGGCTGAGTAAACGCCGGCTTAACATCTCTACCATCATCCGGGTGAGCGCCGGGCTGCTGGGCGCGAGGTGACGCAGGGATCTCTTTATCTTGGGCGCTTCCCTCCGAGTTGTGCTTTGCAGGCTCGTGTCAGTGGTGCTGTGCCTGTTGCAGCTGAAGTGGCTGCGCTGCTTGCTGGTTCTGCAGAGCCAGCTGTGAGCTTTTGCTGTGCGAGTGCTGGGTAACTGGGAGGGCTCTGCTACCAGGCTTTAATTTTCCCTGGTGGAATGAATATTGCTAACCTTAAAGCCTCAATTGCTCTCTGCTATCAAAGTTCACCCACAAGAAGCATTTTGATGCTGGTATGGTGACCTGAAAAAGTTGTGCAGGTGTGCACAGACACTAGATATTACTCAGGCCTGCCAGCGTTGTGGCTTTGATTGCCCTGTGTGGCTTTTCCACCTCTACACATCTGTTTCTTGTAAATGGATGTTGAATTTGCAGCATTTTGGTAGGAGCTTCTCACCCCGGAAGGGCTGGAAATGGTGGTGGAGGGGCTGCAATGGGAGGTGTGTTCTGCTGGGACCTCAGTGCTGTGCTGAGGCGCTGCTGGGCTGCCTGCAGCGCACGGAGGTCCCTGCTGAAATCAGAGCTATTTGCTCATTCTGCCTTCTGCAGTCATTGGCTCTTTGCTCTCAAAGCAGGCAGGCCTGTATGGAGCCGCGAGGTTCTGGTGAGGGGGTGAGAAGTGCTTTCTCCTGGGTTCCTCTGCGCTCACTTGTGATGGAAGCTGCCAGCTTCCATCCCCGCGCAGCAGGCTGCTGTGCTTGAGATTTGTGTGCGTGAAAGCAGCATGAATGTAACTTGTAGGTGAGCCTCTAGCTGAACACCTCGGTGCCGTGATGTGTCTGATGGGCCTTTATTTCTCTTTCTTTCAGTTTAGTCATCAAAGAAAAGACTTAAGAAATGAAGAAGAAAAGAAAATGAAATTCCAGCAATAAGAAATGAACAAAAGAATTGGAACTGAAGACCTTAAGTGCTTGCTTTTTGCTGTTGACCAGATTACTAGAACTATCTGCATTATCTATGCAGCATGGGGTTTTTATTATTTTTACCTAAAGAAGTCTCCTTTTGGAAACAATAAACACGTTTTTTAAAAGTCTGTTTTTTCTCAATACACCTTTAAAGGTTTTTAAATTGTTTCATATCTGGTCAAGTTGAGATTTTTAAGAACCTCATTTTTAATTTGTATGAAAAGTACGCCTGATTTTTTCAAGTCAAACTGCAAGCATCTGTTAATAAAGGTCTTAAAGTTAATGACAGCGTGCTCTTGGTTCTTTCAAACCCACCTCTGTGAGAACAGCTGAGAAAAAACAGCTGGGAAAAACTGCTTTAATTGTTCAGCGTTAAGTATTTGAATATTGGAACTGCAGAGCCTGCGCTGCTCGGTTTGTGCCCTCGGCTCTGCTCGGGGGTAAAAGCCGCGGGGTGAGGAGGTGCTTGAGGTCATCAAACTGTTCCCAAAAGCTTTTGGGGATGGGAAAGGAGAAACGCTCCTCTCCTGGGGCGGTGCAGGGCGCTGCTGCTCCTGGCTCAGCAGAGGGAGCGGCGCTTCCAAAGGCGAGCGGCTGCGGAGTCCGGGAGCAGCGCAGCGAGTGCCGCTGGGTCTGACGGCCTGAGCGCCGAGCTCTGAGCGCGACCTGCGGCTTCCCTTTCTACCCGCTAATGAGCGCTCTGCTTTTATCATGCTGATGATTGTTCTTAATTGCTTTCCTGTGTGCTCGAGCACCAGCCATTAGCAGCCCGGTGCGGCTGGGTTGTGCCCTATCTGTGCCTTTCAGCGTTTCCAGCTGCCAGTGGAGCGGCGGGTTCCTCCTGTAGGAGCCGTTCTTTGAACGCGGAGCTGTTGCACAGCAGCTTGCGGTGACTGCAGGGCCGCGAGGCTTTCCCTCTCCCTTTCCCTTCCTTTGGGTTATAAGCTGAGCTTGAAATCAAGGCAGATCCACCTCAGCAATGGGGAGCGTGTTGGTTTGTGGTTTTCAGAGCGGTTTGTGAGTGAAGAGGGATAATGGTTAACTTGGAAAACGCTCCTTTACCTGTGGGCTTCAACACCCGGCTTTGAAGGAGCACCTGTTACTTTTCAGGCTGCTTTGTGTGCAGCGATGGAGCGGCACACGGATCACTGCTCCGGGCTGCAGCTGCAGCGTCACCCTGCCTGCTGCGCGGCCGGCCCGGCGGCCACGTGGAGTCAGTGTTGCTCTGTGCAGATGAAGCTTTTCTCTGAATTCCTCCACAGCAGCGATGCGGCAATGAGTGCAGAGCTGTGCTGCTCCCACAGAGGCATCGAGCACTGCTGGTGCAGCTGCAGGGTACAACAGGAGCTTAAGGCGCTCCGTCCACTGCGGGGCAGTTGGAAGAGATGACCTGGAAGTGCCCCTTTCAACTCAAACGATTCCATTCCCCAAGGCTTCTTATCTTACTGCGAGACGTCGCTGAGCTGCCCCTGTGGGTGACGGTGCTTTGATGAGCAGGGCTGCCCTTGGCTGGGCTGGGTGTGGGAGCTGCTGCTGCCCGTCACACACGGGAGTTCATGGTGTACATCTTGGTGGTGACAACACGGCGCTGAGGTCCCTGAGGATGGCTGGGGGCTGGTGGGAGAGACAGCACTCCATTCAGGGTGCGTGTCGCCCCGCATGGCTGTGCCACGGACATGGTGACACACAGAGAGAAATGAACCTGGATGGCCAGCTGACACCTCCACCAGGACCTCAAGATGCCCTGGGCCGGGGTGGAGCATTTCTGCATTCCCCCTGTGCCCCCACGGGACCTATGGGGCTCTGCATGGCATGATGCAGCCCCCACTCCCATCCCCCAGCCAGGGTGCAAATGCCAACTGCCCTTCATTTGCAGCCTGCAAGAAGCACCTGCACCCTCTGAGTCGTCCACCCCAGGTTTATCCCTGCACGACTCCATGGGGCAGCCTGGGGCAACACAGACTGACCTGTGTGGGCATGGAGGCAGCAGGTGAGCAGGACGGATGCCACAAAGCAGCCCATTGAGCCAGCCATCCCCAGCCAGCAGGACCACCCAAAGTCATAGTGGACCCCCAGGAAGAGGTTATGGGACACCAGCATGGCCCTCTCCACGTAGACATCCACTGCATACCACACGGAGCCCACGAGACCCAGGATACCTAGGAGGAATGGGGCCAGTTAAGAGCAAGCCGCAGAACCTCCTACTTCCCAGAACCCCTCTGAAGGGTGCCTCTGTCTCCCCGTGTCCCAGCTGTCCCCGGGTTCTCCTGACCACGCACTCGCAGTGCTGAGGATGGCACCAGCCCCGTAGCACATCTTCAGTTTGACACGAGGTTCTTCCTTGAGGAACTTGATGCAGTCGAGCCCAAGGAGCAAAGTAGCCAAAGCCAGGCCCACCAGGAGGTCCGCCGTGATCAGCAGTGTCCGTGTCACCACGATCTTCACTGGTGAGAAATGAACAAAAAAGCAAAAAGGGGACTACGGGGTGGTCAGAGGAAGTGGTGCCCCTCTCCAGACTGCTGCCTGTCCCTCCTGGACTCACCCAGCTCACTGCTAGATCGGGCTGGATAGAGCCCTGGGCAGCCTGGTCTGGTGGCTGGCAACCCAGCTCATGGGCAGGCAGTAGGAGCTCAGGGACCTGCTAGGTCCCCTCCAACTTAAGCCATTCCATCATTACTGGGCATCTCCATAGGATATGGTGACACGGGGACACCAGTGTCCACCACCCTTTGTGCTGCTTGCCAGGCTCATCAGAAACCTTGGAATGGGACTCAGTAAGTCCTTTATCAAGAAACCACACAACTTAAGTTGTGCCATTCAGGAGCTGGGATGAGGTCACCTTCTCAAGACCCTCTTGGCTTACCCTGCATGTTAGCTTAGGTAGAAGATGCTGCTGTCTGAGCCTTGCTCATGTTGCCATCTGTGGCTTCTCCCTGAAAAGCCCTGAATCCCCACTTGGTCCATGCTAACTTCTGGTTCCCTTCTTCAGTGTCCAAATCTTCGTCCACAGAATCACATTATCCTGCGTTGTCACTCTCTCTATATACAGGACAAGGGCCTGAGTTTCTCATCAAGGCCAACCCTTCACAATGAGGATCTTTTTCTCAAGGGAAAACTTAGCTGTGAACTCAAAGATGCCTTGTTGTGTGTTCACAAGAGGTTAAAGAGACTTGGTGGAATTGGCAAATGGTGCTGGAAATGGATTGCTTGACACTGTAGAGTAATGCTCCCACCCCAGACCATGCTGTCCTACCTGGATGGTCTGCCAAAATGGAGTCATACTGGTCACAGGTCCTCACCCCATCCTGCATGTTGGTGACACATTCTCTCCAAAGCCCCCGGCATTTGTGACTCACCTGGAAGCAGGAGAAAGGATGCTCAAAGAGCACTCAAAACACCTCTGCTCCCCAGGGATCATAGAGTCATAGAGTGAGTTGGAAAGGACCCTAAAAGACCATCTGGTCCAACTCCCCTGTAATAAACAGGGACACCTACAACCAGCCCAGCAAAGCAGACCGTCAGGCCCTCACCTAGCTTTCAGCCACGAGCATGTGGATGCTCTACTCACCTCCAGGCTGTCATCAGCATTCACCATCCAGCAGTCGGTGCATGTGGCAAGGAGGAGGAATAGGGCTGAGAGGAGAGCGAGACCAAATGCTGTCATCTGCAAGATTGCACTCATGGAGACACCTGCAAGGGAACACGGAGATGCCTGCTGCCTCTGCTCTGGCCACCTCCCACTGCCTTGTCCACTGCCTGCGCCACAGTGCCTGGATCCCTAAGAGCAGCTCAGACGGCCTCCAGTTGTGCCAGATGAGGGCTGGATGGAAGATCAGGAAGGAATTCTCTGTAGGGAGTGTGGTCAAACACTGGAATGGCTGCCCGGTGGAGAGCTGCAGTCCCCAGCCCTGGAGGCATTTCAGACATGTGGATGTGGCACTGAGGGACAGGTTCAGTGACAGGACCTGTAGGTGAACGTGATGATTTCGCTCGGTGACCCTGAAGGCATTTTCCAGACTGGATGATTCCATAACCCCCAGTGCTGCCCCTCTGGGAATCAAGAGCTGCTTGGAAACTATTGTCAAAGAGCCTCTGTAGTCAGACCCCGTTATTGGAGCACGTATCTCCTGAGATCCTAACATTTTCTCGATGCTTTCATCATTCAGTGAAAAGATTACCTGCTTTTCCTTTAATTCCTTTTTAAGAAAAGCTGTGAAGTGTCAGAACACCCAAACTGGAGCACGTGGGGGTGTCCCAAGGAGCGTCCGATCCTCAAGTGGTAAAGAGGGCTGCTGTGCCTCCATGCGGTGCCTTTGGGTGCTGCTGAGCATCGCCAGAGAGCAAAGGGGACGGAACCGTGTGAATTCCATCACTGCCAGAATTGAGGGACTTCGCAGAGAAAGCAATTGTACAGCAGGTCTGAGCAGAGGGCATCACATCTCCAAGGGCTGGAGAAGACTCCTGCTTCGGTGTGTTTTGCAGCCCAAGCCTTGGCATTGCCATATGCTTCAGTGCCTGAACTGCAGCCGCTGTGTGCAGAGGTTCAAACCCTCAGGGTTTGTTTTTTACCCTTTCTTACTGACATTATTACTGACAGACCTCACCTTATAATGCTCTTTTAAACATCCCAAGCCACCTTCTGAGCAACTCCCCGCAATCTTTCTTCCTTCCCCGAGACCCTGGCTGTTTTGCAGGCTTTGAAGAAAATCTGTTCAGCCATTTGAGTTAAATCAGGGAAAAAAAAAAAACAAAAAACACCCAACAAAAAAATTCCTTCTCTAGAGGAAACGCTCAGTCATTGTTTGTGCTTGGGTAACTCCAAAACAGCTTAGTTTTACTGCTGGAGCCTTGGCTGGTGCAGCAGGTGGTGGAGCTGCTGGTTTTGTTGTGCTTGGAGGTGTTTTATGGGGAATTAATGATGTTTGGGACAAAGGGGA